CGCGGCGCGCCGCACCGCCCGCGGGCACCCTTCGCGGCGGGGGGCAGCGCCTGCCCCGCGGAGCCCATGGACTGCGACGGCGAGCACCACGGCGCGGGCCCCGAGGACGGCCTGGAGGGCGAGGCCGCGCGCCCCGCCTCCGCGCGGCACCAGCCGCCGCTGGGCGGCGGCTGGTGCGTGTACCACCCCGCGCCGCTGCGCCTGGCCTTCCTGGGCCAGGGCCGCGCGGGTGCGGTGGTGTCGGCGGCCGTGGCGGCGCCGCACGCGTCGGCCTTCCTCACGCGCGGCCGCGACGAGCCCGCGCCGCGCCCGCCCTCGCGCCTCTGGGAGCGGCTGGAGGCGGCGGTGGCCGCCGCGCGCGATGCGCCGCGCGAGGAGCACGACGCGCGCGTCAAGCCCATCGCCATCGCCGTGGAGCGCATCTTCGGCTCCCCCGCCGCCATCTGCGCCGCCTTCGGCCTGCGCGACCGCGTGGGTCTGGACGCCGCGCTGCTGGACAGCGTGGCGCAGGGCATCGCCGACCTGGAGGCCGCCTCGCGCGGCGAGACCGGCGCGGGCGTGCCCCCCGCGGCCGGGCCCGCCCCGCTCGGCCAGGCGGTGCCGCCCACCACCTGGCTGTTCAACGGCATGCACCGCGGCATGGAGGTGCTGCTGTCGGAGCTGGAGCGCAACTCGCGCCTGCTGGGCACGCCCGAGCGCGCGCAGGTCCTGCTGGCCGCCTGCCAGTCGCTGCTGCTGGGCGACCCGCGCTGCAGCCAGTCCCTGGTCCCGCGCCTGTGCGGCGTGGTGCTGGCCGCCCCCGCCACCACGCGCCACCTGCTGGTCAAGTGGTGGGCCGAGTGCCCGGCCGCGCTGCTGGAGGCGCGCGTGGTGCGCCCGCTCCAGCGCTACCTCACCGACGAGTTGTACACCACCAAGAAGCTGACGGTGAGCGTGATGAACGTGATCAAGGTCCTGGCGCGGGTGGAGGAGGGCAGCGCGGCGGGGCGGGTGCTGCCCCCCGACGCCTTCTACAACGAGCTGATCAGCGAGAAGCTGGACGTGCTGGACCACTACGTGGCCTGGCGCCAGACGCACGACACGCCCGCCCACGCCCCCGGTGCCGACGGGCCCTTCAGCTTCTGCTCCTACCCATTCCTGCTCAACCCCCGCGCCAAGAGCAAGCTGCTGCACACCGAGGCCCGCATCCAGATGGACCAGACCGTGGCGGCCTGCCGCGCCGAGGCCGCCGCGGGCGGCGA